CCTGCTCCTTCTGAGACAGCGCGCGCACCGCGCCTCCGCCTGCTGCCGCCGCCATGGTTGATGGGGATGTGAGTGATTGGGGCTGGCAGCGCGAACGAAGGGGAGGAGAGGGATCGCCGGATCGGGGTCGGGCAGTCGGGCTCTTTGTCGGGAGTGGCGGCGCTCGGGGGGAATGCAACGAGGGGATCTCTTATCTGCGACGCCTCAAAAACCCTAGGAAAGCTTCGGTAGAGACGTACTCTAAAGCCATAGATCAGGTAGTTACTTTCGGTCCATTAGTGATGCACGTGCAGCCTGTGCCACCAATTGGTGATTGTGACTTACCCATTTAAAGTTGTCGATGAATTAAAAAAAAAACACGCTTCACATCTAACCCCAACTTAATTTACACACTTTTTATCTGTTTGATTTTATTTGACTCCTATGTTCTACTCTAAAGCCATAGATCAGGTAGTTAGGTTCTTTGTGGTGGAACCTACCCATCCGGGGTCCTTGACTCGGCACGAATGCTCGTATTTTTCTGAATTTATTCTAGGATTTAACGGCGCTATGCTTTCAGTGGTAGACGACGTCCCCGTCGACAGCGAGACGCGAGATCAGCCGGCTCAGTCCTTCGGAAGTACTCATCGGAGAAGGGTTTGCGTATTCATAGGGGTGAGTGTGCGTGCGTATTGCGGACGTCTGTGTTATACCGTGTAATTCTAAAAAAAAACTTTTGAAAAGGATATCCAATTTAGGAATCCAAAGCCCACCATAATCCATTTTCTATGAAAGCACCTTAACCCTTTTTATAAAACTAATATTAGTATATTCTATTCTTACATATTTTTAAGTATATAAATTGTATTTTTTGCAATGAGCGATGATATATTATATGATTAATTGAGGGTCACCCTCGATTAAAAAAGGAATTTGGTAGGCAAAGTATATTGATAAAAGACATTTTCTAAATCCTAATACACCTTATAGAAACAAACAAAGGGGGTATTTAGGTGCTCCTATTTGACAACACCCTCATTCCTTTGAAAGCTGAATGACAAAGTAGATCTCTTCTCATGGGTAATAAGGGGAGATGGGATCATCCGCTGCTCGAAAGCCGGTGGAGTATCTAACTATCTTTCTAGGTGATGACAAATTTAACTTTTATTTTGCAAGAAGCCATTGATTCAAAATGTATCAAGAAATAATTCATTAGTTTACTATTTCCTTCATTTTAAATTATAAGACGTTTTAACTTTTCTAAATACATTACTTTTACTATTTATGTAGATATAATATATATGCATAGCAAAAGCTATGTATCTAGAAAAATCAAAACATATTATAATTGGAATGGAGGGAGTACCTTTTATAGTTAATACATTAAGTACCCCAAGCTACATCTCGGTAACAGACCTTTATTTCTATATATACTTGAGTGATTTGTCAGGTTGTCTATTGTCTATTCATTGGTAATTGAAGTAGTCCTGATACCGACACCATCTACATCCAATGCTGATAAGGCTTTATTCAATTGACGTTTAAGTTTGGGCGTCCTCAACGAAAATTCCAAATCGCTAGCTGAGGTGGACTGAAGTCTAAGAGATGTCTCATCAGATGTGATCAGATGTGAGGTGTCGTGTTCGGATATTGATAAAAAATAAATTACAGAATTCGTTAGTAATCAGCGAGACAAATTTATTAAGCCTAATTAATCCGTTATTAGCACATGTTTACGGTAGCACCATATTGTTAAATCATGAATTAATTAGGCTTAAAAAATTCATCTCACAAATTAATCTTAATCTAGATATTTAGTTTCATAATTAATCTATATTTAATACTTTATATATGTGTCTAAATATTCGATACAACAGCAACTGAAGTTTAGGAGGTGAAAAAAAAAACAGCAAGTGCAGGCAGATCATCAAAGCTGAGAGAGAGGGAGCTTTCTTGAGGTTCGTGCGAGACTAGCTAGATGGGTAGCGGTAGCGCGCTGCTCTGGCTCCTCCGTAGCCAATGAAATTACAGCTATGCTGTCGATTTAGTAACCTTTATTCAGCTGAAGTACTGCCAAGGGCCCTTGCTCCTTGCTCCAACTTCCAATGGCCGGAGATGAGATACGCTTGCAAGCACGGTGAACAATTTCTATACCGATATTACATGAAAACAAGAACAGTATGATGTTTGGACATAGCATCAAGTGATCAAGTGAACGCAACAAGAACGTGCCTTCGCCTTAAAACTTCGGTGTGTCATATATTTGATGTGATTCTTTACTTGCAATACTAAAACACTTTCTCCGGTTCATTTTATAAGACGCACATGCATATAAAAATTCAAACTTCATAATATCTGAACAATGATTTTAACTACTCTAATACAAATCTGATATAGTTACACTGATATATATTTTTTATATAAATTTGAACTTGAGAATTTTTTTCACTCGGTGGAAGCTTAGGATTACATTGAGTTAATACTACTTCTTTCATCCCCAAAAAATACAATTCTAAATTTTAGGTAAGTCGATCATTTTTAAAATTTCAAATTTAATCAAAATTATTGAAAATAATATCAATGTTTATATTTCTAAATTGGTCTCGTATGCATATATATTTTAGAACTAATCTACCGATACTTGTTTGGTGTTATAAATATTATTACCATTTTTATATGAATTTGATCAAATTTGAATGTGTTTAATTTTTTTGGGAATTAACAATTACATCTGTGATGGAGGAAGTCCCAATCAACAGTCTCTGTAGCTACCGTCTGCACAGATAGAAGGTCTCAGGGGTTTCACATCGGGATTAAGGAGCACTTCGACGAGAAAATGGAAATTTTGCCCTTATAGAGAGTGGGTTTCACTAGAATGCAGTTTATGGGCTTCATCAGAATGCCCTTATGAAAGATGTATTTCACGTTATTTTATCATTTTGTGTTTTTTTTAACTTTGTAAATTTCTGACTCCATCTTTTTTACTAGGCGTGGCCGTTTTACCCCTGTCCGCGACGGGGGAAAGCGAGTAGATGCAATCAAACAGAATCGAGCAGAGAGAGAAGTGCAGGCGGTGGTGCTACTCGCCGCCGGGCACAGAGAGAGACGATGGGAGACAGAGAGGGGCTTGAGCGCTGGAGCTGCTCACCGCTTAGCAGAGCACCTGGGCGAGCGGCCGGTCGCTGGACCTGGGCGCTTGGGCGAGTGCCCACCGGGACCGAGCGCTGCTCTGGCGCTGGGAGCACGCGGCTCCTGTTGCTCGGCCTCCCACGACGAACAAGCAGGAAGAAACGAAGAACAACATGTCTTTGCCTACCATCACGACGTGAGTGATCGGGCTGCTAGCCAAGGACGAAGCGGCGTCTTGCGCTGCGGCCCCTGTCCGACCACACCTGTGCAAGCAGAAGAACAGGAGACCGATGCCTTCAAGAACAGAAAAAGGGCGACAACAAAATCGACAAAATCCGACTCAAAACTCCATGGTTCGCTCCCAAATTTTGCGAGAAATTCAACTACCTACGAACTCATCCCCAACAAATCATCTCTTGGGATTAACCCAAACTCCGGAAAATCTAGAACAGGAAAGCGGCGCCCACAAAATCGACAAAAAACTGGACCAAATCAAAACAAATCGCGGCCAAACTTTTCACAGGCCATCACAAGGGAGTTGGTGAGCATACTCTAAGAGATCATCTCCCAATTTCAATGCAAACTCCGAGAAAATTAGATCACGGCCAAGAACACAAAAAACTCCCCAAAAACGAAATTCGTTCAATTTCTTCGTGCTCGACTCGATTCAATCAAATTCACTTAAGGGGTAGCATCAACTCATGTCATAGCACGAATCTGAGCAAAAAAGAACGAACTAAATCGGTCTCAAAATGAAGAATCGATGCAAGAACGGGGGAGGGAAAAACTGAGAAAAAAAGCTGCAAAAATAAAATCACAGACACAATCCCTAGAACACGAATTGGTAGTGTCATTGCCAATTGGTGCCGTCCTTTCACAGATAAACACAGAGAAGGCAAACATTGGAACAACAGGCATTCTAGGCCAAAATCTAGAACACGAATCGAAGTCATCGAAGGGACGAATCAGAGAGGCAAAAGCAAAATCCCAAAATACAAGAGGAAACGGGAGCACCTGAGACTGCTCTGTGCCAACCGCGACACCGCCGAGACCCACCGACACTGGGCACGAGCACCATGAGCGGCAACAATAGGAGAGAGGGAGAGGGGGAAAGATGAGGACGACTGGCCTGCAAGGCCATGGCTCTGCCCTGCCCTGCGCCGGCCGCGCCACGCCCCGATGGTAGATCAAGACGGAGGGAGAGGGAGAGGGGAGGGGGGCCGCACGCGCTGCGCCACCTCAGGAGAGAGAGAGGGAGAGGGAGAGGGAGAGAGAGAGGAAGGGGAGGCGACGGGAGCGAGAGAACGAGAGGGGGAGAGATGAGAGGGTAGGGGTCAATAAGCTCAGGGGCAAAACGGTCAGTTCAGACTAAAATTTTGGATGAAAAATATTAAAAATGGATTTAAATTTTAAAATAGTATTATAACGTGTTGGACTTGTTTGATAAGGACATTTCAGTGAAGCCCATTGATGACATTTGGGCGAAGCGCACCTGCCATATGGGCAAATTTCCGATTTTCTCCACTTCGACGCAACGCTTCTTCATGGCTACAGGGATAGAAGCAGACGCATGGCCGGCGGAAGGAAAGCTTTTTTTAACGCCGGAGTAGCAGCCTCCCTTTCCCTTGCCCTGTTTACCATCCGCACTTGGCGCGTGCTTCGGATCCCGCGTCATCTCATCCCTTGCATTTCCTTCCTTGCACGGCCCGGTCGTTGACTGTCTCGCGTTCCATTCATTTTCCAAGGCAAATCCATTCTTAAATCTTGGACACTACATAAACCCTGCGGGTAGTCTCCACGATTCCACCAAACATCCAGCCCTGCAAACTTGGTCGTGCGTGCCGGCGTGCCCGCGAGGTCCGACCTAGCCGGCGCGAGAGGCTACAGCCGCCATGGGCTCTTCCGAGGCGCCGCTGCTGCTCGCGCACCCGCGCGAGGGGAAGGAGGACCCGGGGGAGGACGTGGGAGATCGGCGCCGCCTCCGCTGCTGCTGCTGGTGGCGGCGTTGCGGCGCTTCGTCGGAAGGGTGGTGGGCGGAGGCGACGGCGGAGGCCGGGCGGCTGGCTGCGCTGGCGGCGCCCATGATCGCCGTGGCGCTGCTGCAGCTCATGATGCAGCTCATCTCCACCATCATGGTCGGCCACCTCGGCGAGGTGCCCCTCGCCGGCGCCGCCATCGCCAACTCGCTCACCAACGTCTCCGGATTCAGCGTCCTCGTAAGCGTCGATTCAATTCCCTCGGGCAGTTGGGCTGTTCTTCGTTTCCTTTAAAAAAAAAAATCAATTCAAAACTCTTCGCCGTCAGCTCGATCTCGTCGGGGAGAAAACAAGGGGATTCGATTGGTGCGTGCTTCGCTCTCGATTCTCGTCATGTACTCTACCACCGAATACCGTAGCCGCTAGCCGCGTTCGTCATGGGTCCTCGCCGATCGATGGATGCCGTTTGCTTTTGAGCGCGTCTTCCTCTGATTCCAACGTGTGGCACACAGGTGCACCAAGTCTAGCGGCTGTAGCCTGTAGCCCCCTGTGCCTCGATCGCATTGGCAGAGTGCGGCCTGGTACCACTAGATGCTTGTGGGATGCGCGGTCCTGTTGCTGCTTCACATTTTACGAATGACGATGCCCACTGATCGGACCGGATCATATTCATATCCGGTGACGTCTAATCCCATTTGCTCTGATGGCGTACTTGGTCCAAAGGCACGTGGAGCGTGATGGTCACCAAAGTTTAGCCGATCCCGTTGCCACGCAGATTTGACAGAACCCAAAACAGCTCACCCCAACTTGGAACACGGACCCTTTCCCCCCCTTTGCAAACAGCCAACAGATCTGTTGCCAAACTGGAGAATGCGAGTAAGCTTTGTACTGACTTTTAGAGTTGTGTACTCTCTTTTGTTTTTATTACAGTCAGTAATCCTAGTAGCCTAGCTTTTTACAGAACCTGAGTAGTTGGAGTTCGATCAGACGGTAACTGTACCACACATACTGACAATTGTGCTTCCAAATCCCTTTTAGCCCTTCAACTGTCGCTAAACTCCGATTTTGAACTACAAAACCATACCTGCGGATGGAATAACCAATTTGAAGACCAGGCTGACAAAAGTTGAATCAAACAATGATTTGCCTCTATACTTGCCCTGTGTAATATTTATATTTCCGTAGATTCATACTGATACATTTGTTCTTTCAATCAGATGGGACTGGCATCCGGATTGGAAACTATCTGTGGACAGGCCTTCGGGGCAGAACAGTATCATAAGGTAGCTTTATATACCTACAGGTCTATAATTGTACTCCTTATTGCGAGTTTACCCATGGCCATTATATGGGTTTTCATCCCAGACGTACTTCCTCTCATAGGTCAGGATCCACAAATAGCGAGCGAGGCCGGGAGGTATGCCTTGTGGCTTATCCCTGGTTTATTCGCCTTCAGTGTAGCTCAATGCCTTTCAAAGTTCCTGCAATCTCAGAGCCTGATTTTTCCCATGGTTCTGAGCTCCTTGACTACACTCGCTGTCTTTATTCCTTTGTGCTGGTTCATGGTTTACAAAGTTGGGATGGGTAATGCTGGAGCTGCTTTTGCAGTCAGCATCTGTGACTGGGTTGAAGTCACGGTTCTTGGTCTTTACATTAAGTTATCACCTTCTTGTGAGAAAACTCGTGCTCCATTCACGTGGGAAGCTTTTCGAGGGATTGGCAATTTCATGCGGTTGGCTGTACCTTCGGCTCTTATGATTTGGTAAGTAAATGTTACTCTCATATTTCCATTTAGACAATGCCTTCATTTTGACAGTTTCTACAGTTCAGACTGCACATCCTGTTTATACTCTTCTTCATAAACTTTTAGTACTGTGCATGTACTTAGAGTAACCTAAAAAGTGATTTAGATCTCGTAAGCTTCTAGTCTTGCACTTTCTTATTTTCTTGGTGATATCAATCAATTTTCTTGATAACAGTCTTGAATGGTGGTCATATGAGCTGCTTGTTCTGCTTTCTGGGATCTTACCAAATGCAGCACTTGAAACTTCTGTGCTCTCTATATGGTAAGCATAATCATAAATGTATGAAGCCGTTTAATCATGTGACAACATCTAAAAAGTTAATGTCCTTTTTTAACAGTATCTCTACAGTAATATTGGTGTACAATCTCCCATATGGCATTGGAACAGCTGCAAGGTAGGAGTAAGCATATCTTGTTATCATCATTTATCAAATTAATTATATCGCTCTCTACTGCCTACTTAACCTGATATCTGTTGTGTCCATGTTTCAGCGTGCGTGTGTCAAATGAACTAGGTGCAGGGAACCCAGACGGTGCCCGCTTAGTAGTAATTATCGCCTTATCCATTATAATTTGCACGGCAGTTCTGTTGAGCGTAACTCTTCTATTGTTGCGCAATTTCGTCGGAATTGCTTTCAGCAATGAGGAGGAGGTTGTAAATTATGTCACCAGAATGGTACCGTTGCTTTCAATTTCAGTTCTTACTGACAACCTCCAAGGAGTCCTTTCAGGTACCTATACCAACAATAATGTATTGTCAGTCACTCAGTTGCATCATATAAATGAGAGAACTACATAAAGGGCCTGCATATAAATAAGAGAACTACATAAAGGGCCTGATTCATAATTATTTTTGTCTCATCAGGTATTTCTAGAGGCTGTGGTTGGCAGCATTTAGGCGCCTATGTTAACTTGGGCGCATTCTATCTTGTTGGCATTCCTGTGGGGCTTGTTGCCGGTTTTGCTTTGCATCTAGGAGGAGCTGGGTTTTGGATTGGCATGATAGCTGGTGGGGCCACACAGGTCACTCTCCTATCAGTCATCACTGCAATGACAAACTGGCGGAAAATGGTAGGCTCTTCTTTCCTTTTTCTTTTATTTTATGCTTCTTCTCCATATCATTTTACTTCTACAAACGAGAGACAATTGCTTTCCTTTCTCTGTTAAATTGTAAATATTGTTGGTTCTCTCTAATCCCTTAGCAAGTTAGCGTTGGGTGTTGAAAAAAACTATTTGGTGTGTCAAAGGATATAGACACTGATTCTGAAAAGAATATTGCTATATAATTATTCATCATCAACCTTATTGAAAATTGGCTCTTTAATTTCTGAAAAGCTGGCAAGAAAATCTGAACTTAGCTCAACAAATTTTGGAACTTGTGAACAAATAGTGAAACCTATATTAGTAATTTTGGTAATCATGTTTCTTTCAAAAAAAATAATTTTGGTAATCATGTCAACGATATTTGAATCCTATTTCAATATTTTTGAAAAACATTGCTGTATTTTTTTTAGCAAGTGATCATCGCTAATATAAGGATTTAGTGAGCGTTCACTAGTTACTAATCTCAAGAAAAATAGAAGGCCCAATTCACTAATTTTGGTAAATAATGTCAGGAACATATAACCTGGTCCATTGTTTAATTTGCAATATTTTTTTGGTGAGTGGTCACTAATCGGAGCATATAGTCAACGTTAACTAGTTGCTTATCGGCAAGAAAAAGTGGCAGCAGGTTTAATGTTCCAAAAGAAATAAATGTTCATCCACTTTGATTTGTGTTATTAAAATCTTTCAAATAAAGTGTCGCCAGGGTCCTATTCGCATTTGAGGTAACGAAGTCCAACAGAATACGTGTTTTCATGTATTTCATGCCATGTTTTTCAGAGGGCTAATTGTCTTCTCCAAATATTTTGATCCAACACAGAAAGGATCAGAACCTCTTGACAAGCAGTTTATTAGCAATTATTATATTTTTCTGAATATTTCACTTGGCAAAACCAAACTCTGATTGAAAGGGATATTCTAAGGCATACATAGAATTATTGATATTTCCATCGCCTAAATATAATTCTTTATCTTGGTTCATAATTTGCAGGCTGACAAAGCTAGGGATCGAGTATATGAGGGAAGTCTTGCAACACAAGCAGATTGATTATTACGAACTTGAAGTCATATCCGACTATCTCCAAATTTCGCTGCATCCTAGTTGTTTGTTGGAAGAGCTGTCCATGCCACGGATCTCTACAAAAACGTTATGAATATGTCTCTCTCTTCCCAAAATCGTCGTCCAACGAGGGTCGTAAAAGACGGTTTATACCTACTCTGAACTAGCTAATTCAATGATAAGAACCACCTTATCTCTTAGGTCATTCCCAATGCCCCGCCTTAGCTTATGTCTTAGGATTAAATGCACAAGTAGGATGAAATTTGATTTGACAGTCAAGTTAATGAGAAGAGAATGAGTATAACAACATATGCATTGGGGCAAAGGTATTATCCTTGATATATGTTCTTATATTTTCTTTTATTGGTCCGCAGCTGAGTAAACCTAGGTTTACTACAGTTTATTGTTATATGTTTTCTTAATGAAAATTGTGCTTTTACATGTTTGCAAAAAAAAAGTATTGGTCATGCAAAGCTCCTCACAAACATTGGACAATCATTCGGAGTTTAAAAAAAATCAAAATCACAGTTCGCCCACGTTCTAGACTCAATTAGCTAAAGGCCGATAAATGAATTAAAGAAAAAGTAAAAAAAAATCAGAAAATATAGAAGAAGATACTAACCTTATCCTAACCCTCATTGCTTTCACCGATGGTTGATTAAGCATGTGCAACTTGTTAAACTATGCTTAGATTTGAAATATTTGCAAAATTTGTTGTGAAGTCTTTCATATTGCTATACAAATAGTTGATGTCAAAATAGAGGTTAAAATCACATGGTACTAAAAGAATCTTCTGGCTAAATTCACATGTGGCCCGCACGCGCATCGTGTCCTGCAGGCAGCTGCATTAGGTGGCTACTATAGATAGGTCTCACTACAACATGTGCAACATCGGAACTACTTTTGCAACATCTATATGAAACACTTGGAACATACATCCGAATTAATTAAAACACTTGCAACATACGTGTGAAACACCAGGGAAACACGTGTGTGGCCATTGTAGAACATATGCAACATCCAGATGAAACACTTGCAACATATGTGTGAAACATATGCAACATCCGGATGAACACACTTTCAAATATATGCGTGAAACATATGCAACACCCAGATAAAACACGTGCAACATACGTCTGAAGCATCTAAAACATTTGAACAATACACTTGCAACATATATAGCCACTGCAACATATGCAACATCCATATGAAGCACTTGCAACTTACAACATGAAAACACTTAGTGCGATATAAGACTAAAAACAGACGAAACATTTGAAACATACTCTTACAACATGTGCTCCCAATCTAATTTTGCAACATCCGTATGAAGTACTTGCAACATACTCCTGGAACATATGAAACATATGCTTGCAACATGCGCTTTCAGCGCAGCGCAACATCTACTTGCTGCTCGGGAGAATGGAGGCTCATCGGCGTGTGGAGTTCACCGGAGGCAGTGGCCCAGCGGCAGCGGCTGCACAACACGGAAGGGAGGCATCGGCCTCGTGACGCGGCTGGGAGGCAGCGGCCGCATGACTGGGAGAGGGCAGCAGCACGCCACGCCTAGCAGGGCCGGTAGCCGAGCGCCGAGCAGGCCCAGCGGGCGAGCGCTGTGCCTCGGAAGCTGCTCGCTGGCCTAGCGTCGTCGCTCACAAGCGGCTGCCGTCAGGACTCACCTGCTTCCGCACCGCCACGTGCTCGCCTCTGTGCGAAGCTCTCCTGCCTCCACGCCGTCGCCCGCGCGGCTCGCTGGCCTCGCGTCATCGTGCACGAGCGACTGCTGCCAGGGCTCACCTGCCTCCGCGTCGACGCGAGCTTGCCTCTGAGCAGACCGTATGTCGCTGGGGTTTTCTTGCCTCTGCGCTGCCATGCTACAGCTCACCGGCACATCACAGACCATCGCTGCTCGGTGCTCTGTTGTTGGATGCGCACAAGGGAACTGATTGGGGAGAGAAAGAGGGCAAAGAAAGCGAATGGATTGGATAGGAATGAGTGGATGAGCAAAATGCCGCGCTCAGAGGCTGCAGGCGAGAGGACAGAATGCCGCGCGGATAGGAGCGATAGGAACAAGTGGATAGAAATGAGTGGATAAGCAGTTTTGAGAAACAAAGAAACAGGAGGTTATTAGGCTCGCGACGCAGCCCACCAACAGAGCCACTTCCCAGCATTATCGAAACTAATTTTGCCAATAATAAAGCACCTAGAAAGGTTGCCCCACTGCGTTATCATTCCCATCACACATTCTCAAACAATGGATCTTACACTTTAAAGGATCAGTCTTCTCAGAAATATCAGCAGTTCAGCAACCTTGCAAACACTAGGATTTAGGGCAGAGCAATCTCATAACTGATCATTTCGTTAGAGTAGTAATAATCATAAAGTTGCAGGTACCAATTCAGCCATAAAAAAGAACAGGTATACCGAGATATAATCTCGAAATCTCAAAATACGGCACACTACGAAACAGACAATACAACTGCTTAGAGAAGCTTCACTCGCTCTGAGTTTTATATAAACCTCTCAGTACGCCTGAATCAGCTAAGGACAGGGAATATGCGTGTTACGTGCTCAAACGGAACGATATCAGCTGTGTTCTTCTTGAGCTCTGGGTGATTGAACTCATTGCGCGGGAGAACAATCACTTGAGACTGCCCACCCTTCTCAATCACCCAACCTGAGTTCGCGGCATGGTACTCAAGAAACTTGTCCAATGCGAGACCTTCAATGTTGATTGCCTGTAAAGAGAAGTGTGTTAATATCAACAAGAAACCATCCATGTAGCATACCCCATGGAAACCTAGCACAACCTGGATGGCCATTAATTAATGATTATGGTACAATTGACATAAAGCATACTCCCAGCAACCGTCTAGTATGCTTCTAACATTACCAAGCATATGAATATAAAAAACAAGTTCATGTGGCATCAGCACTTACTGAAGAACTTGAACATTAATTAAACATGGATTACGTCTTACCTCTGCAAGAATAGGCCTTGGAACTTTCTGGTATGTCAAGGAAAGTACATGAATCGCATAGGATTGGATTGCCTGTTCAAAACCTGCACATTATGTAGAGTCAGGACAAATAAAGACATAGGTTAAAATGCATATCACCTGGCCTAAAATATCATCCAGCTGCTGATTATGTTTGAATAAATCCACCAAAAATTCTAGCCCTCAGGCATTCTTCCCATCCCATTGAGGTTAACATAAGTAAGAAAACTTAATGACTAGGAGAATAAAAGATATCAAACACTAAGTGACAGAACAGGGAAGATACACAAAATAATTTACTTGGGCACGAATACACAATGTAACACTTCAGTCAACACCAGTGACAAAAAGCACTACCCAACTGGAACATCATTTCAAATTTCTACTAGGAATCCAGTGTGAACATTAAAACTTTAACATTCATAACTACTCTGGGCATTAAGACTCAGATTGATGCGACAAGCTCACATTACAATATCTAACAGACTATGCACATCTCAGACTCAATGGCTCAAGAAATATATTTACCTGGAACTGCTTCCAATATGTGGCGGTTCTTTGCTGCTTCATCCCAAAACTGACTGAACCTAGCAGTCTTTAAGCAAAATACTTACGTTAGCTATAGATCCCTCACTAGTTTTTACTTGTGTACATAAGTTAGACCAAGTATGTACCTCTAGGTAGTGAGAAAGAACTATCAATGTCTTGAATTGCTCCTCCATTTGCTGAAACAAAGACACAGACAAGTTAACTCAACATATACTAACAAAATAATGTAGCCAAAAAATGTAAAGGCAACAGGACAGCTCTTGTATGGAATCTCTGCATCTGTGACATTTGCAAGACTAGTCTGTTTCACGCAAAAATTCAAACTCACAGAGCACAATATATATTCGAACATGGGTGTGGGGGCTTCTTTACCAAATATCTATAAATATTGGATATTGTGCGCACTCATCAAGCATGAGCCATAATTAAATAGTGTGTATTCTAGGTCTACAAAGCATATCTGATACTATTCAACTAAAAGGGCAGGATGTAAATTTTCATACCACATGTTCAGGGATTAAGAATAAGCACAGACTGAAGTCAGGGGCCGGCATTGCCATGAGAGCCTGTAAACAGAACATCATGGTAAACAGAACATCATGGGCAAAGCCAAAAAATAGTCAGAAGTGAACTCAGATATGCTACCGATCAATCAAACCAATGTAGCCATTAAATGTTCCAAGTTCCAACCTTAATCAGTATGTGGGCCACAATCTGTATGCTCATCCTTTCTGGCTCAAACTGCAAAAGGAAACCAGTAACTAAGAAAACATATGAATGGAGCCATGATACTTGTAAAATGATCTCCCTGGAGATTCGTTGTTACCTGGTACAGGCGAAGAAGGCTGAGATTTGCATCCAAGTTATATGTTTGAGACGAGACCTAAACAGGACAAAAGAAAAGGATCAAAACATTAGGCAAAACTAATGTTGCAAAAAAATCCAAAATACAATGCATGTGTTTTCTTATGACCTAAAAGAAAATTGTCAGTCAATGAATTGATTGAAGAGGTTCATTTTATGGGTATCATCCACCAAATATTTCATTTTGCAACAGCAATACCATTTGTCTCATATCATAGAACTGAAAACATCTTATAACAGCAATGGCAAACCAAACCTGCCTATTATGATCATCAGAATAATATTCCTTTTCACTCACCACAGAACCCCTAGATAGTACACCTAAAAGGTTAATCTATTTTTTTGGAACTCCTGTTGAACACTTATGGTAAACACACTCGAACACCATTCTGATAGAGTAATAGAGCCACTGAAGCTGTAGAAAGGTGTAGAATATCCATAATTTCCCAGTATCATCGAAATACAACGATTGGCACTGAAGCTGCAGTTAATCCAGCATCTGACTACCCCACGATTTCACCACCGTTCAAACGCAAACATGAGAAGGCGCTATTTACAAGCACCGCTAAAAACGGAATCTAAAAACCCCACAAGCAAAACCAGCAGAGACAAGAGCATCCCGGTGGTTAGGGTTTACCTGCTCGTTGACGAACTTCTCGAGGTCGTTGAGGATGTCGGGGTTGTAGGGGTTCAGGGCCACGAGGTCCTCCACCGTGTAGTTCTCCGCCGCTTGCTCGGTCGCCATCGCAGCCGGTCTCAAGAACCCCCAACGCTAGCTCGATCTCGCGCGGAAGTCGGAGTCGACGGGAGAGGGAAGTGGCGGCGCGGCGGAGGAGAGGCGATAGAAGGGTTTTCAGAGGAGAGGCGTATCAGCGTATGCGACGGAAGCAAGAGCTGTTGCCAAAGGCACGCCTGTGTTGATTCTTTTCCTTTCTCGGCTGGACGGCCCATCTCCACCCGTTCTTCTTCTCTGCGCTGCAAGATTAGAGTCTGCTGGCCCATGCAACAAATACACACTCCTTTTCTGTGTTCTATGGGAAAAAAATCCATTTCACCTCACTCAACTATATTACATAAGTTTGACTTACCTCCCACAATTAGAAAACTAGTATTTACACTCCATTAACGATTTGCCTCCCTGGGCGGTTCTGATATTGGTTTTGACTGACTGATGCCACATCAATCGTCGTGTACGTGGTGCCAACTCATCCACGGAGGAGGTAAATCGGACTCTAGTGACAGTTCAGGAAGTTCAATTAGACTTTATAAAAAATATAAAAAATATTTTTTTCAAAAAGTTATCCAAACATATTTTTTAGAATAAATATACATTGAAAATACTAAAATCCAAATAGTTCAGGCCCAATTGTTATGAATAAGGACAAAATACGTGTTTGATTTACCTTTGTACTCCGCATTGAACCTGCATGTGTAAAATTGTAGATGGAAAATGTCATAGCAGCGTGTGGGATGCAACGCAGGATAACAGTATTTTTCATAGATATTGTTCGGAAAGAAGTAGCTACTTCTGCTTGTAATATTAGATCCAAGAGTATCTTAACAGAGTTCGATTCACTAACCTGTAGGCCAAACTCAGTGCACGCACAAAAGAGGACTATTCTTGCTTGCATTTCAAAAATAGATAGAACACCTTGAGATACAATAATGAGCAAAGTGCATGGCCGGCCCCTAAATTTGTTGGGGGTGTGTCAAGTCGGTCCATGAACTCTCAAAACGATTACTTAAGTCCATAATCTATGTTTTTATGTCGTTTAGGTCCAATCCGCTGCGAACCCCGTGGATGTCGTCATCTCGTATTGCAATTAGCCCCCTCTGTCCATTTTTCTTGTTTCAAATTGGTACCACGCCCAATCCGATGCAATTGAGAGCTCAATCCGCTGTGTCACTCCCTCGTTGGCCACAACGCCGTTGCAGTCGCTCCCTCGCCGGCCATCACACCGCTGTTGTCGCCCCCTCGCCGGCCAGCACGCCACTACCATGGCCCTCTCCCTACCCACCATGGCGCTGCAGTCGCCCCCTCCCCGGCCACAACAGCGTTGCCGTCGCCCCTCCCGGGCACCACGCTGCTGCCGTCAGCCCCTCCCCGCCCCCCACGTGGCTGGGCACCTCCGAGGTCTCCTACGACCGCAACGGCTTTGCTCGAGGCGATAAGATGATGGCGTTCGAGGTTCCGGTCTCACAGCACGGGTTCCTGCCAAGATAGGTTGCAGTCCCCTGCAGACTGTGGTGTCGCTCTAGAAAGGAGGCACCAGGCTTGTACTGACAGTTCACCATAGCAGCTTATTCAGTAATCAAGGAACATGATTCCAGTGCATATACTCAGCTCTCGTTACAAGCAGCTGGAGGCAAAGGAGGTTCAGAGTGCAGCATTAGGAGCTGTAGGATGTAAAAAGGATATTGCATTTCAGCAGCAATTGTAATTTCAGCATCAATTGTAATGTGCTCTTGTTGAAATTTCAGCCACAATTGTAATTGACGGATATATTGCATTTCAGCAGTAATTGTAGTTGACAGATATTGCATTTCAGCAGCAATTGTAATTGACAGATATTGCATTTCAGTGCCAAAAGTATGTAATTGACATTTCAGTGCCGAAATGCATGTAATTGATAGATATTGCATTTCATAGCAGTCATAAAAGGTGTAACATCATTGCATCATCCAGAAATTGTTTAGATGTTTGCAAGTGTAACAGGCATCACATAAGAAAGCAAAAGATCTAAACCAGCTTGTTAGCTAAAAGTTCTTAGCTACTGCTTCCTAAATTTCTAAAGAGTTGCTGCCACTTCTTCCTGTCCATCAAGGCAGATTAGCTGATGCTCCCTTTCCTTCCTTGCTCTTCTTTGCAGGTGCTCTTTTGCCTTCACTGGTGATTGGTCCAGCTGCCTTCCTCTTCCTTGCTGCAGCGGCCTTGCCTGCCTTTGTGCATGTCGTCAGTGGTGTAGGTCTTGGTATAGGCTGATTAGAGCTTATGAAGATACACAGCCTGTCTGTTTGGCTGTGGCTTGTCGTAGACGATCGTAAATTTTCAACCGGAACTGTATTTTTCTCTCACACAAACCAGCCAGCAGTACTTCTTCACGAACCAGCAACGATACAAACCAGCCAACCGAACAGGCTGACAATCTGGTAGTGAACCTTGAGGCTGAGACACTGATGTGGATTGAGAGTCCTGCATAAAATTACTAGTTAACACATAATCTAACATAAACATTGTTAATATGCATTCAGTTTCTGTAAATTACCTTCCCCAGCATCTGACTGACTAGTGTTGTGTCGATTTGTGTCATGGTTTCAGTCTGCCCTTCTTGTCTCAGCTCTTGGTTGATAGGGAGATCTTCTTGTGGCTGCTCTTCTGGTGCTGGCTGCTGGTCTCTGGTTGCCTGTGCAGCTTGTTGTTCAGCTTCCTGTGCTAATGTAGCACGTGTTGTGGCCACTAATTTTTTTTGCTTCCTGTAAACCGAAACCCATCTTCTTCAGTTTGCAGCCACCAGAATTGTGATTAGCATCTGAACAATACTTGCAATGAATGATCATACCATGTCTAGATAGCCTTGGTCCATTCTTTTCTTGAACTTCTTGTGGTTGTTTCCTCCTAGACTTTGGTGGCCGACCCACTTTCTTCTCATACACCAGTGGTTTTACCTCAGGTCCATTTACCTTTTCCCACTCAGATTTGTCTTTGCAAGGCTATATGTTGAATCCATATGCATTTTTGAAAGCTTCCACAGAATAACAGTTAGCAAGTACACTTTCAGGCTGGATCCTCTCACTTCTCAAGCATGAGATAGCATGGCAACAAGGGACACATATCAACTGCCACCTTCTGCAATCACATGTCCTTGCATTGATGTCTACTATGTGCTGGTAATCCTTTAGATGCACTTGGAAGACACCCTATCCTGATGGTGAAGCAAAACACATATTTTCCTAACTCTTGCTGCTTGTTGTAGTGCCTTGTCATGAGTTAGCACTTTATCCTTTCCAGCATGCTAAGTATTGGCAATTCCCTAGCTTCTAGAATGTAGCTATTGAAGACCTCACAATTGTTGTTCAACAAAATGTCACATTTGGGAAATTCAGAGAAGTAAGCCCTTACCCATGTGTTAGGAGGCATCTTCTCTAGCCATTTGTAGACATCCTCATTCAAAGCTTTCATCTTCTCCATATTTTTGGTCCACTGTTGAACTGAAGAAGACCTTGCACATGCCCACAACTGTTTTTTTTTTTCAAGATTTCTCCTTTATACTTCTCATTGAAGTTAGCATATAAATGCCTGACACAGAACCTGTGTTCTAAATCAGGAAACACTTGGTTCACTGCTGGAATTAGACACTGCAAAATTAGTTAACATATTTCAGTTAGTAACCCAAACAAAATCAGAATTAATGAGAAATGAGAGTGTTCATATGTTAGCAATATCTTTTGTTTATCTGTCATTATTGTCCATGGGAATGTGTTGTCAATTTGCAAATCTGCCTTCAAGGTTTCCAAAAACCATTTCCATGTAGCAAATGACTTGACCTCAACAACAACAAAGGCAATAGGGTAAATGCAGTCATTAGGGTCCATACAAACTGCTGTAAGAAGTTGACCACCAAACTTGGTTTTAACATGACACTCATCAAGACAAATTATGGGCCTACACTCAGCAAGAAAACCCTTCTTGCAAGCATCAAGTGACATGTAGCAACTACTAAAGAGGCTACCCTGAAGGTTAAGGTAGAAAGAACTCCTAGGGTTACTCCTCCTCAGTTCATTTCCATAATCCCACAAGGAATTAAACTGTAACACCTCATCTCCATGAATAGCCTTCATGATCAATCTTCTAGCTCTAGCAAGTTTGCTCCTTGATGGTGTAAGGTTCCAGTACTTTTGTACTGTCCTTCCAAAACTAGTAATGCTCATCTTGTCATTTGCTCTAAATGAATCAATGTACTTTGTAGCCAACCATTTTGCAGTACATCTCTTGAGCACCCACTCCTTCTGTCCAAAGAAGCATAAAGGTTCCATGGACAGCCCTCAGCACAATGAGCCTTTAACCTTGCTTTCTCATTTCTTAGCATCTTAATTTCAACTCTATTCCTAACACTATACTCGGTGATGACATCTCTAAGCTTCTGGACATCTGCAAATACTAAGCCAACATGAAAGGCTGGATTTTGCATATCCTCCTCACTGAAAGATGAAAACCTCAGTCTCGCATCACCTTTCCCATCTGATTCTAGAAGGTCCAAACCTTCATCATCTGTATCCTCTTCATCACTTCCCTGTACAGGTCTAGATATCTCTAGTGTCTTCAGTTTGCTGCCTTTGTCTTTCTTGTGGTCTTTAACTTGTACATGAGAAGTTACAAGGTCATCAAACATATCTGCATCTCCCTCTTCTATCTCATTATCACTGTCCCATAACACACCATCTTCACTGTCAACAGCTTGATCCACCCTTATGTTATCAAAATTTGTGTAGAAAATAGGCAACTTTTCTTTAGGATTCTTCTCCACATTCTGCACTTTGCTTGGGCTGATGACCTTTGGCAATCCAGTCACTGGATTTGCAACAACATCATCCCAATCAACTTCCCTGAACATATCCTCATGAACAAAATATACTATCATATTTTTGACATCCTCTGCACAAGTTGCCATTACATTGGTGTCAGTATCTGAAACTATGAGACGAAGACCATCTACTAATGTCTTCCCTGGTAGCAGCCAATGTACC